TTTTTGTCTTTCAGGTTTGGTGCCTGCACTGCTGTTTTCTGCCCTGTCCGCTGGAACAGGTTCGCGTGTGAAAGGTTCTTGCTCCTTTGAAAGGGGTGCGTGACTGTCTCCGGGATTGCGTTGCTGCCACACTGTGTAACTCTCTCAGCTTTGTTTTCGTTTTCGGGCAAGCGTTGGATGAATGACCGGATTGGATGTCGGCGGCGTGGCAGCGATCTCTCTGTTCAGTTGGGGCGGAGGGCATACGTCAGGCACCAAAAATCATCCTCATGCTCTTATTTCTTGTCCTCACGTGGTCAGCTGCCCGCTGATTGAGCAGCATGACCAGCATCATGTTCGCACTTGAAGAATAGTTCCCCAAAAGGTTTACTGTTAGGGCTTCTGAATTCTTTCTTAAGATGTGTCCGCCCGCTCTGTACTGATGTGTCCGTCTCTGCCTTGCAATCCTTTACATTTGTCTCCCAGCTCTGGACGTCGCAAGCTCTAGTTTAACTGTTTGGGGTCTACGGTGGTGTAATTTGTTTGCACCTTTCACAATTCTTGACTACTAATACCCTGAGGTGTTGCAGTGGTGGGCCTGACTTTCCTTTTGCTCTCTAGCGTCGGACGCTTTGACATCGACCTGCCAGATACTCCTGTACATTTGTTCTAAGACATGAAAAAGGCTGTTCCAAGAACAGTCGTCTTAGCATCCAACCTATGCCTACCCTTTCTCTAGGAGATCCAAGACATTGGTCAGGGCCTTAGTGCTCACTCCGTGGTGAACCAAAGAGTGGCATCGATGATATTTCTGCGCACTTTCAGCAGTCACCTGGTGAATTCGCCTTGACCTACCTCTAGTCTGCTCTCTTTCTTCATTGGGATATCTCCTCTTAGCCCCAAGTGGCCATTGCAAGGGCAGAAGAACGACCTCTCAATGTATCTCAACCTATGACCTAATCGATTCTTCCACTTCTCCTGAACAATAAAGATAAGAAAGCCAGACAGGGTTCTTGTGCCCGACTACCAATGTGGGAAGGACTTTGTAATGTCTTTGTAGGGTAGTAGGGAACAAAACATCCAAGTCGAGCCGGGAACGGCTCACATGCCACTGGGCAGTTCTCAAAATCTGACGTGGCTGAATGACCCTCAGAGCACTTCCAATTGGAACATTGGCACAGGTCAAAAAGTTGGTATTCTGAATGCCAAAACCTGAATTGGCAACGAAAAACAACTGGACAGTGCGTGGACAGCGGATGATTCTTCGATGCGCTGGCCCACGACGGCCAGGTGTGGCTGGCCGCGATGTGGACACTCCCCACTGGCCACGAACCTTGCATGTTGGATGGGGACAGAAACAAGGAGCACTCTGCCCTGAAACCTGAAAAAGTTAGATCGTGACATTCTTGTTCAAAGAAACAAGTTGAAATGGGAAAGGATCATTTTTGGCATAGCCACTTCGGAGAGTCACTTCTTCAATTTGCAGACGAGGGTCAAGTAGGCCTGCGCGAGCTTCCATGGGCCCAGGTCCCAGCGTCCCATGGAGGATGCCACAGGCGGCTTGACCTTGCAGGAGCTTGATTGGCCGGGAACCCTGGTTTGCTCATGGGAAGCTTTGTTGTTAGAAACACACAAAGAATCAAGCGTGGATGGGGTCGGTGAGTCAATGTTGTGGGACAAGCTAGAAGATGCCTACCAATCGGCCTGTTGCCAGGGGAATTCTGCTGCTTGTGCAACACCTTATAACCAGCTGGTGTTGGTGGACTGGGAGACATTGAACATCATTGAACACCTGTCCCTCAGCAAAGGCCGAACCTGCATGGCTTCTCCTGCGGTGCCTCGGGGGTGCTCTTCCTCTTCGAACTGGTGAGGCTGAGTACGTTTGAGTACAGTACCTGAAGCATCTTGAGATGACCAGGCAAGCTCACGTTCAGAAGCTTACGTAATATGTGTTAGAGATCACATGACCGAGTTTCAAAAAGGATGAATGAGCAAAGCTACCCTGAACCGCGCTCAACATTTGCAGGTTTTGCTTGGGCCAACCACCCTCCGACATTGAATGCTACGCTGCCGCGTTGATCTACTCCGTGGTGTATGCCACCAGGTGCCCGGCCATTGGACAAGTATGGAACTTGGGCTCGGATATTTGAGGGGGATACCAATACTGGGAGCCATGACAGAACCGTGGGGAGCCATGAAGCCACATGAAGTCTACCTTTGCCCCTACAATCAGAGTTCTCAAAGTTGGACACGTATGCAGGTCACGTGCAGAGCAATGATTTCGCTTTGATTATGATTGAGGTCACGCCTCAATTTAATACCCGGAAATTCGAGATCACATGCTCGAAGTTCACTGAGGGGAGCCTCGTGCATGTCAGTGATCTGCCGGATTATACGGGACGTGTTTGGAGCCAGGTTCGATGGCATTCGCAACTTGGCGCCGCACTTCAGAGTGACTTTCTATGCTACGACAGGCTCGAACGGAGGCTGTTGTTGAACTTAACTAATTCAAGTTGTAAGAGCAACCCTGATTGAACCTGCGGATCGAGAAGTCTCTTGATCCCACAAGAAAGCACCACTGATGTGATTGGGATTATCCTTGCCAGCGTATAATATTATAAATGTATATATATATAACCCTATATAATAAATAAGATAATGGTACAGCCTTGACCGGAAGCACAGTCAGAACTGGGCTGAAGAAACCATGGATGGCAGGATGGTGTATCTACTACATTGCACATTTGCTTGCCGCGACGAATCCTGCCATTTTTAGCCATTGGGTGTATCCGACAGGACCGAGTGCGAGCGTGGCAATAGAAAGACATGCCAATTTGCGAGTGTGTAAGGTGTGGTAGGTGGCAGGTCAAGGGATTCATGTTAAACGACTTCCTTGGAAAACTACTGAACAACCAGAATAGACTGAGGCATGATGTTGTTGCTTGTATTCGCTTCAGTCACTCGCCCTGTTCCGGTAAGACCAGTATGACTTCTGACTCCTGTGAAGACACATTAAGCCTGTCCCCGGTTTGAACGAGAGCTGGTTACAGCAGCTGGTTCATTGCATGACTGCCTATTTGGCAAGAGTAAAGGTACGCTCACACATGTTTTTGATTTTTCTTGTGTCCTTTGGACATTTGTTCGTTTCATCAGCTGGCGAAAGAATCCCTTCAGGAGTTGTCTTTTTTGGCCAGCAGCATCTATTTCTACAAGCACTGGATTGAGAGGATGTGCGCTTTGACAGATTGTTTTGATGGTTGTGTCGTCATTCTGACAGAAAAGTCCCCACTCAAGCACGCATGGTTGCAGAAATGAATTGATTCGCTAATTTGCCGCAGACTCATGAAATTCCTTCGCGCAGAAAATATATCGTACTAGAGTGTTTTGTTTGGACTGCCAGACTAAAGAGACGTTCTTGGGATGGGCAAAGCCACTTCCTTGGCGAGTTGTTCAGCTTTTTCTTTGGAACGGTCCCGGCCAGTGGCTGTGTCAGAGAGGCGAACCGAAATGCCATTGCCGTTTTTTGCAAACGGACTCTAGTCTAAGACGGCAAGATGAACTTGCCCTCCCAGTGGGGAACTTCCTGGGAAGCTTGCATGTGAATTGACTCCATGCACATGCAATGCCAGCAGGTACAGACATTTTGTGGAGGACCAAGCATCGGGCAGTTGAGCAAAGTTCTTCCCCCACTCGGAGCATGCCCTCTTCTGACCTCTCCCGTGGACTGTTGTATAGAATTGTGCAACAAGCTACCCACATTGGATTTATCCAAGCTCACTACTTTGTATTCGTTGGGAGAGAATCATCTGCTGACTATAAGAGAGGAATGACAACCAAATGGCATGACGGTATGACCCCATCAGAATGTTTGTCCTAGAGATCTACTCAGCGAACTCCAGACATCATGTCTCTGCTACAAGCTATAGTCTTGCTTCGGACTGCCGACCACAACCAGAATGCCGTTGCGACGCGAGCGTTCGATGCTGTAGGGAAAGGAATACATATTTTGTCATTGTTGATGCGTCATTTTTGTTGGAAGCAAACCGGACGGATCATCCCAGTAGCTCAATAGCCTCCTACCAGGTTGCCATCAACTGGACATGTTTATAAGGCTGTCACTGCTCACTGAGTCACTGACCACTCTTCAGACCGTGTGTTGGGCGGCTCTTTTGCGGCTTGTGAGGACCGGTTCCGGCCCTACTATGTGCCGGGCCTCGTCGGCTTGATGCTGGGGCCTAAGAGATGCCAAGGACAAAGCCAAGGGGCCCGGCTACCCGGGATGATAAAGATTCTTGCAAGGAAGAAGGGTAAAGGCGTTCTTGTCCAGCCGAACTTTGAGGTGGCAATTTGATGATTCTTCTAGGTTTACATGTTTCCGTGGTCCGTGGTAGAGTGTACCATATACAGTAGATTCGATTTGCTATCAGGGCAAAACAAATCTGTACTCAGGCTGAAATTCTGCGTGTGGAACCTGCAAAAAAGCTGCAATACATCGCACCATTGATGATAATTAGTCAAGGACCTCTTTTCTAAGCAGCGGGGACATCAAGGTTTGCAAGAAGCTTGTGTTCCTTGTATTTCAGAATTCCACAACCTGGCACAGCCTGAATACCACCTGAACACCTGACGATCCCGGCGTGAGAGATGCCTCCTAGAAGAACTACGCCTTTCACAACAGCTTATCGAGACCTCAGTCCGGCTGGGCATGCTTGGCAAGAACTGCGTGTATGAGCCTGCTTGGACTTCAACAAAAGGCATCGAACAAACTAGAAAGGACCCCCACCAATGAAGCCACCAATACTTTTGCCAAGCTGTTTGAAAACTGCCCCAGGTATTTCCACTGGCTGGATACAGTGGACATGTTGAACCAGTGGTTGGACCCACGGCCGTCTCCTCGGCTGGGTCTTGCAACTTGCTGGGCTGACAGAAGTGACAGAAGGACTCTTGATGGTGGACATACTGCACAGGTTCCACGGTCCACTTAGCTTGATGTACTCCACTTCAATGCCTTCGTGACGACCAACCTTCAGGAAGCCATGTACTGCACCTCCTACTGTAGAAAAGTTGTGAATCGTCCCGTATGGAGAACTACAAACATCTCTGAGGTACTGGGAGCATGTGGTTGTGGACCTGCCCGACCAGGACATTGGAAGTTGGGGATGTTGATTGGCAGACCAAAGATGTGAGGAAAGGAGTTTGGCCTTTTCAGGGTCATGGGGATGCAAAAGAATCAGATATGTTTGGGGCAGATTTTCAACTTGGAGATGTCGGATTACTTGCAAGCCCCCACTTGAATGTTTGGAACGATCGGTCGTGATCGAGGGAGGGTTAAATTGGGACATAGAACCACTTTTGGGGTTGTATTTGGGCATGTGTCACCGTTCCTGCGTCAGCGCTGTGTAGCATGAAATGAGTTTTCGATCCATGACTTAGTTGAGGATCGAAGCATGCAACGCGATGGCTGCAGCATAAACCTGGCCTAGCACAGGGACAGATTCTTGATAGGAAGGCTGTGCTTGGACTCGCAAGCACACCTCTGATTGGTATGCTGCCGTTGCTATTCACCATGGGTTGAGCCTCGTGGGGCCTGGTGAGAAACCGCTATGGCAAGGCGTGGACCATCGCGGACGTGAGACTCACTGGGCTCTTTATGCTTCTTGGAACAACACACCAAGACGGGCACGAACAGCGGCGTTCAGTAATACCATTAAGAGTGTTTCGTTGCTGCACTTCCCAGGAGCTTTTGCAATTAGCCTGTGCCCGCCGAAACGGGATTCTTGTTGGATCCTGGTCTCTCTTCCAGTCGCGTGTTCGAACATTTCTCGGATGTTTCCAATCCTAGCTTCAAAAAATCTAGCCGAATCTATGCAACCACAACTGTGTTGGGACTTTTCTCAGGGCAACCAAACATGTTATGAGTGAAAGACCATAAATAATATAATGTAGAACTGAACAACTACCCGATTCTTTCAGAAAGGAAAAGTGTCGTTTGCTGAACTTGTCTCAGCAGCGATTCCGTGATGAGGTCCAGCATGGCCTTGTTCATGATCACATTGCACAACAAAGGGGTGCTCACCGGTGGAAAGAACACATTGATCACGGCAGGGAAGCCTGGCTGAACCTGAGCTCAGCCAGTCTATGACCTATGACCTTCAAGCATGGATCATGATTCGTAGAGTAGGGGCTGTTCGACTGGTTTTGTTCGACCAACCAGCTGGAACAATCTGGATGTGTGTGAATTATATAATTAATTACAATGGGAGACCCTCCCAACGAGTTTACTTTTTCCAGCAGTTTATGTGGGTCCCTACCATTTGAGGCACCCATCCGCAAAAATGTTTCGTACAAGATGCTGAAGCTTGAGGTTCTATTCACCATCTTTGTGCCGGCCTTGTTTCTCACGGGCACACATGCCACACTGCAGGCCTGTGGGCCAGGTTCTGGGAGTGGCATGTGTCATAAGGGATGCACATTTTCTTGCTGAAGTATCCTTCCACATCGCACCACAACACACCAACGGCTGGTTGTCGAGCAACTCTTCTTTGACTGGCGAGAAGGGCTCACATTAGATTGGCAGCAGGGTGCAGATGTAAGAAGTGATGTTGATGGTTCCATGCCCTTCCTTCGTGAAATGAACCTGGCGCAAAGCTTCCAAAAGTTGGCAGACCGTAGGACCTTTGCACGGGTCAGTTGAGACACATTATATAGTAGATTTCTCTTTGTTTTGTATTTCAGGAACCCCTGCACAGTGCCTGTGGCAGATGACATTTCACAATATGGAAGAGATTTCTGAGACTTCTAGAGAGGAAGCACAGCTTAGCAGCAGCAGAGATCCCACCAAAAAGCCTTGAGGGAGTTCCTGTCTCAAGTGTCGCTTTGACAGAACTCTGCCCTGTTTCGGTGCTCAGGCCAGCTTTCCTTAATGTGAGGCCTCGTGCTTTTGCAACGCTCGAATCTGCTTGGTGGTCTATCCCACTGAGTATGTAGCATTCTTTGAAAGTTCTTTATTAAACATTTGTTGTTTTTTGTTGCGAGCCACTAGCTGCTGAGTGAGGTGGACCACCCAGTGAGGTGTCAGAGCACATGTTCCGATCTAGGCACTCCCACTTCCACCCCCTCACCAACATGTTGTTTTGTGATTAATTTATTAGTTGAAATGTCCTGGGCCTTGACATTTCTATTCACATATCACTATCGCATGTTGCGGGCTCAAGCCAAATTACAGGAGAGAGAGAGAGAGAGAGCCCGACAAGGGAAGACAAAGATTGCTGGGAAACAGTGCTTCGACACTTCTTCTGAGTGGAGCTAATACTTTGTGTTTCCAATTAGTTACGTTGAACTGTTGCTGTCTGTGGAGTTGAGCAGTTGGCAAAAGACAAAAGGAACGAAGAGAGAAAGTCGTCTGGCAGCATCGGCCAGTGACCTTTCTGTTCAAGTAGGTATCCTAATGCGAAGGAATGAAAAGATGGATTCCAAAGCATAATGCCCAATGAAAACCGATTTTCCCAGACTCCTGTGCCAGCAGTATCTCTCGAGGCAGTCGGAAAACACCTTTTTATAGCGACTGCCGTGGACAATTCGGGGTGAGGACTTTGAGCAAGCGATGTTGTGAAGAGCTCACACCCGGCATCCGTGCGCATTGCTTCTTGAACTGTTGAGGAAGGGATTTTGATATGCTCTTTTTTTCAATTTGGGTGACGTGCTCCGTAGGTTTCAAGTGACCTTTTGATTTTCAAGGGTAGTGGCAGTTCTTGGTGTTCAGAGTCCTCCCCGTACAGTGGTCACAGTGTAGATGGGACTTACGACAAGCAGCTTCCGGTCTATGTGGCACAACGCATCAAGCTTCAAGGAACCAATAATTATTGACTCCAAACATGTCCGGCTAATGCTTTTGTTTTTGTTTCAGTGGAAGTCTTGGAAGTGTAACCCACCTGCAGGGAAACGCCGAACAGATCTATGTAGAGCAAGGGTTGATGACAGGTGTGTGTATTAAACTGCTGCTAGAACTCCATTGTGTGAGACTCGAGGGATTTAATGTGAAGAGGATGCCCCAATGACAGTTCGGGACGGATTCGTGGCTTCTTGAGGAAGCCACAGATGTGCGCTTGATTTTTGATTACGAGCCTTAGGAGATCTGGCCAGGCAGCCATGCGACCGAGCTTGGGGCTGAATGCAATGATAGTAATTCATGAGTTTTAGAGCCATCAGCCAGCAGAGAAGGATGCCATGGAATGACAGGCTGGTAACCAAGTTGTAAATGACACTAAGACATCATGGCTTTGGCATGCTTTCGCTCCGTGTGCTTTGCGGCCGCGCGGCCCTGGTCTTCTCTTGAGGCTTTGTGAGCGAAGAAAACTGTATGTGGGGTCCCTCCAAAGGTGAGCATGGGCATTCACTGAACATTGCTATGAGAATGTCAAGAAGATGCACAGCCACCCCCAATGTTCGTCTGAATGATCTACTGTATCAAGTATCGATGTTTTTGCCGGGATTGAAGGCCCCTGAGGGATCCCACAAAATTTGCGTTCTCCATCGAAAGAACCCAAAGAATTTCCGATCGCATTGTTTGGTGAGCGGGAAAATCGTGGCCATACAGCGTCGCAGTTGATCAGTGGGGATGTGATGACCATCAGAATGGGGACATGAGGACATGCCTGCTGTATGATATATATATATATGTATGTATATAGTTACTTTAGTATTACTATATTTTCCCATCCCAAGATTTGTCTCCGGTATCTGGCCCACTTTGGGATATTCGATTGTGAGCCTTTGTTGGACGGGCTAGTGTCAGGTGCACTGCTTCGAGGTCTCCCCATCCCTGCCAGAGGCCAGTTGACAAGGATACACTGCCTGGACGTTGCTGCATTTCTCGGTGAGTAGAACCAAACAACAAGCTGGGATGGTTTCTGCCTGTTTCTGCTTGATTCGAGGGTCTTTGATTCTTTATAGAGGTTTCCAATTGTCATTGAGGATTTCTGTTGGGACGGAGCACTTCTGCATTTGCAGGGCTTGGAGTTGGACGCCTCCACTGGGTGCTGAACTTAGTTTGCTCATCGCGAGAGCTTTTCCCAAAAAGATATCATATCATTCAAAGGCACGGGCAAAACGAGTCCTGAACCCAGTCCTGCATTGTTACATCTTTCTTTAAACTTCTATTTGCCACTCAGCTACCACCCTGTAGCACTCTTTTTTGTAGGTGAGTCTGTGGTTGGCTTCTGTGCTTTTGCTTGCTTCCACCCTATCTATTGTCAAGACCCAGGCTGAGGTGACAAGAGGTGAACAGATATCTGGAAAGTGAAAGCTCGACAGCTTGAGCATGTCCCTCGATCGAGTGACCGGGTCTCGTCATTGTGCCCTAGGGCGATCTCTGGGACTCTCCAACCAGGGAAATTAGTGGATGAGGCGGGCTGAGAGGAAGGGGCACGGGGATGAGGGTGATGAGGGAGTTTGATTGAGCCAAGAAAGCCAACTGGGCTCTAATCACGAGTTCCCTATGTCCGTTTATCGGAAGTTTCTCACCTCTCAATGGTGTGTAGAGCTGTCAACATGCATGCAGGGAATACTAGTTTTTGCCGAATGCTTGCAGTTTGAGCTGATTGTCGGGGGGCCGGTTCTTCAACCAAAAACAGTCTCCTAGTTGATCAACAAAGCAAATCATCCATCCCGAGCAGAAGAGTTCATTCATTTTGAATTAGAGGCCCTTCTCCATCTTAAATGGTGACACGATGTGAACATTCTTTGCAAAAGCAATGCAACCTGTGAACATTGGACTGACCTTTGAGCGTGCAACATCACACCTGTCTGGAGGCCACGTACACCGTTACGGGCAAGAATGATGCTGGTGAGGTGGGATTCTCATGAAAATCGTCTGAGTCATAGTATATAATATCTGTAAAACTGGACAATCACAAGGCAACCCTTGGAAGTACACCAAAATCACTGTCATGTGGAGATGCATGACTGCTGCATGACTATGGACCATAACTCCTATAGCATGAAGCACAGACTAGCAAAGCACACCAGAACAAGTGATGTCAGAGATAGTCTCCAACTGTCTTCATAATAAGTCATGTTGCGGTGACCCAACACTTTGTCATCTCCAGGCATCTCCAAGAAGACCAAACAATCATGACCTAGGAACTTCTTTTGAGAACGAGCTTGAGAACGAACAGAGGGTTTTTCCTATGTCAGGTGCTTTGCACTCCCCCCCAAAAGGAACATCATGATGAGCAGGTCTTAGAGGCCTATGTCATGATGAATTGCCTCTGAAGACTTGTGTTTTTACACGTCCACATGAGACAGCCCTTGGTGGGAGTGTGTCCTCTCACCCCACTTTCCCTAAGTCATTTGACCCCAGCACTTGTATATACTGTACATATATATACTTACCAATATATACATACACACTGTAAGGTCTCCGAGCACGAACGAACTGAAGGCTACCCAGCAGACACTACTCTGTAGAGAGTGATATTAGGAGAACCCTCTTTCATACACTTCTGTTGTGGAGGAGCGCGCTACTGTTGTAGAATCACGGAGTTTAGGGCAGTGGTGTGCTACTTGCAGAGCATTGATGTATGATGTTTTATGCTGGCCGCTTCGAGGGGCTCGCCTACCGCCAAGAGCCCTGATGGTCGCCCATTTGAGTAGCCTAAAGGTCGACGACTATCCTTGTTGAATCTTGTTGAATTTGGTGTTTGTCAACTGATCTTTCAAGCCCAGCATAGCTTTTTCACACCTCCCTCTCGCGCCATGTCTCAACTCACTGCGTTCAAACACTGTGGGGGCACTGCCAGGCAAAGGCTGAGCTGGTCTTTGCAGTCAAGGATACTCCACCAGTTGGTGTCTCGTGCTCCGAGCGCAGGAGGGCATGTACGAACAGAACATGCCATCGCTTTCCCCCACTGCACAAAATTGGCCTGAACATAATAGTTTCACGTTGAACATCCTAAGTCCTTTTTTGCCAAACACAAGTTCAGAACCCCACATCCTCCTGCAAGAGCGTCACCGAGTGTCACTGGACCTGCTGTGACTTCTGAGGTACCCCAAGGCACATGAGACCATCACTGTGGGACAGGTCGTGGACTTACAGTTTTGCGGTGGTCAGTGGGAAGATGGAGAGATCTTGAAGGTGGGGAGAGTCATCTTTGCACTGCTGACTCGCTATGGACCTAGATTTGATAACAGGTCAGGCAAAGAAGCGGCAAACCAGAATGGAAACACCAATGGCGAAACATGTTTCCACTGCAAAAGAGCTCGCCTGGGCAGAAAGCCTCTTGATCCTTTAAACATTTTTTTGACTGACACGGACGGAAAGACCCTTCCGATTTAGTTAAATAGTGCAGTGATTCTCCTGAAAATGGGGTCCCACGTCCTTGTTTCCTGGGGCATCCGATCGTTTCCGATGCCGTGGCTCAAGCTCCATTCACTAAACTCAATCAGTTTCATATGCAGATTATGTTTAGCTCATTGTGGCCCACA